TATATATATATATATATATATATATATATATATATATATATAATATATATAATATATATATATATGTTTATATATAAACATTTTTGGGTGAACTGCATTTGAATCATTTTTTGATGTCTAGTAAATTACCTTGGAAAGATTATACTCTCAATAACACTGTAATCATTTCTATTTGTAGCTTTTTTGTTTTGTTGTTACATGTTATTTTAGTTTTGCAGAATACATTTTAAATGCTTTGACGGCGTAAACCGTTTTGTGACTGATTTAAAGACTTTGATCACTAGTTCAAAGGTTTTCGAAACCAGAAATATAAAACAGAAGCAGAGTTTTGACAAAGACGTGCAATGCAAATCATTTTATTAAGGAAAATATGTGCAATGTTCTTACAGGTAATAGTATGAGACACATTGACACAATATGATCTGTTTTGATTTTAAACCTGTTTACTTTTGGTATGACACAAGCTAAATTTACATTTAGCAAGAATGTAAAACATTCCAGTGTTCAGTGGGGTCTAAAAGTACACACAGAGATTTAAAATGCCATTTAAACCTGGATATTTCAGCTCAGGTCAGCTCATTTTAGCAAACCATTCAATACTTTGTTCTGGTACATTTTGTTGCACGTTTCAGATGACACATCCATTAGAGGGTGATGTCTAGACTTTGGTGAATCTAAAATGCATTATTTAGGGTACATTTTTGCTGTTTCAGATGCACGTCATTCTTGTACACACTCTCCAAAAGGCAGGGCATGTCGCACAGATCATCTAGATCAGGGGTGTGCAAACTTGTTCCTGGAGGGCCGGTGTCCTGGAGAGTTTACCTCCAACTCCAACCTGAAGCAGCTAATCAGGCTCTTATTTGATAGAAACTTCTCGGCAGGTGTGTTGAAGCAAGTTGAAGCTAAACACTGCGGGACACCGGCCCTCCAGGATGGAGTTTGGACACCCCTGATCTAGATTAAGAAACCACTGACCTAAACCCAACCAATGTTTTTTTATTAAAGCTAACGTAAGAGAATATTGCACTGCAACCACATAGATTTACCTTGATTTTACATTACTTTTATCTCTTTTGTGAAACCATGCTTTACTGGACTTGAACCCGAGCACTCTGCAGCACAAGGGTTGAACTTGTATTTACAATAAGCCTGTTTTGGAATATTTACTTATTTATTCATTCGTTGTGTACTGATACAGTGCCTTATAAAAGTTTTCCTCACCCTTCTTTTTGTCATATTTTATATTGCAGCATTATGTAAAAAGTTTTAGATTTAGCTTTTACTCCTCAGAGGCAAAGCAAGAACCAGATAAGTGTTCATACCCGATAACCCAGTTTCTAATTACAGCCTCAAGTCTTGCTGGATATGACAAGACAAACTTTTCACATCTGCATTTGGAGGATTTCTGTCATACTGTAAGTCTCTCCTCTTGTTGGAGAAATGGCCACATTTAGATCTTAGTGTTGGATTGGGTTGAAGTCTTTTCACTGATTTGAAAAAAATAAAATAAAAATCAGGGTGACGAATAAGTTTCTACTCTTTTTTATATGTAAAACATTGACTTTTGGACCCCTTTTGATTCAATGTATAGCCAAAAATAAATAAGTACCAAGCTGATTTCCATTCAGCATTATTTATTATGGATCATCTTTAACACTAGAACCACCAGGTGTCATTAAACACCTTAATCCAGCTCAGGCTCATTGGAAATATGTCCCTCGGTCTACATTTAAAAAAAAGTAAAATACATTGTTCCAGCTATATTCCGCTGAATGTTTCAGATGACAAATCCACAGCAAAGAACTGCATGAAAATATTTACTCAATTATATATTATTTATCCTTTATTTATTCAAAAGAGGCCGTCTCTGTATTATATGAATTAACAGAGTTTACTAGAGTCATGAGTTTTTTAGTTTTTTTATTATCAGTTGACCCAGCACACACTCACTCATGATATCAACCCTCAGATTCACATTCACTCATGGCATTAAATGTCCACGAATCACTTTCTTCTATCCATTGAGAATAAAACTGATTATCTCTGTGGGGGAAAGACAATGCCTAGCATTAAAGAACGGCAAAAGATACATTTACGCAAAAATGAAAATGCATGAAATTATTATATATGTAAATTTGACCAGTTGGTGCTCATATGTAAAAATACCTTGTAATCTGGTTATAGACTTGCTACTTTATTGAAAATCCTAGTTTAACAGTTTTACCAGTTTTTCATTTTATTCAGCCGGTGTCAGGGTGTGGAGCATTTTTAGCTTAGCTTTGCATAAATCATTGAATCTGATTAGACCATTAGCATCTCACTTAAAAAAAATTATATAAAGAGTTTTAATAATTTTCCTATTTAAAGCTGGACGTTCTGTTGTTACATCATGTACTAAAACCAGGGGTGGATTTAACCGATAAGCAAGGCGAGCTGAGAGCCCCCAAATAAATACCTAGAATTATAAATTATACCAATAAATTATATATAATTTATTAATTAATTATGTATGTCATTTTCTGTTATATTTTATTTGATGAGGGTCTAAAAAACAAGTTTAATGTTTATTACAGCGCAAATGTGCCATCCACCCTCAATCATGGCGCAGTCAATTTAGGTAAAGATTTAGTTTTAAAAATGAAATAGTTTAAATATCATTTTTGGTTGTGAATACATTTCAAAAAAACAAATAATTTAAAAAGTTTTACAAGATACTTTACATGTTGTTATTATCATTTTGCATTAAGACAAAATGGAGAAAATTAGTGACTGACTGAAATAAGTTTAAAAACAGCTCAATAAATCAATTAAAAATACATTTAAATAGGCCAAAAGGCATTATAGAATTTTCGGGCTCCATGGCCAGAATTGCTTAGTGCACCCAAATCACTAAATCCAGCCCTGACTAAGACTAATGAAAAATAAAAAGTGGCTATTTTCTAGGCTGATACAGCTAGGAATTATCCTCTCAGTCTGACATAATAATCAAAGGAACTTTGCTGCCATAACTAGGCTGCAGCAGGAACAATGATATTACGCATTACTACAGAAGAGTCAACCTTAAAAATAGGAAAAAGATCTAAACTTTTTAAACATTTTTTTGGAGTGAGATGCTAATGGTCTGATCAAAGTCAATGATTTTTGCTTAGTTAAGCTAAGCTAAAAGTGCTCCTGTCAGAGATAATCTGAATGGATTCAAAAATGGTAAAACTCAACTGTTTAAGTTTAGTATTTCCTTTCCAATTAATTTGTAATTGTTTTTCCAAAAAAAGTGGAGCGATCCTTTAATACCAGAGACGCAGTCAACTATACCCAGTGGTGGTCCTAGTGTTAAAAGTCCATGCAGTCTGGTTCTTGTTAAAGGCTTAGTTCACTTCCCTAATTAAATGACTATTTTGATTATTCTACTTTGTATCATATAATGAATGTCAATGGTGCTCAGTGGCTTGAACTTAATAATTGCAGCTTCAAATGGCTGTAAATGGTCCCACACTGAACAATGACTTTTGCTGCTTGTTTAAACGACTTATTTAAAATGAGTTCAAATAGCTAAATCCTTAAGGTTTTTTTAGGACAAGCTAATTGTTTTATGTTTAATACACTTACATTTTCAAATTTGTAAAAAAATTGTGTTGGAACAGCATGAAGGAATTGCGTAGAACCCAGCATTTTTTACAGCGCAACCTAAGAATAAGTTGCTTAACAACCCAATTAGCTATTTACTTAAAAACAAATGAATATATATTTACTGCATACTTTCAACCAAAAGGTTTGCATTTACCAAAAGATAGTGGCAGATTAGCTTTTGTGGTTAAAATGTATATAATTGTTTATTTTTTAGGTAAAAAATATCATTTTGTTAGGTTACACACTGAATTCTCTACACTGTAAAACCAAACCGTCCAGTTTATCAAATTAAATGTAGTTAACTCAAAATTGACTAAAAGTTAGTTTTACTCATTTGAAAAGAGTTTTGAACTCTGTGTTGAAGTTAATGAGTTAATTCAATACCCCATTACTTCAAGTTCACAGTACTCACATAGATTATTATTATTTTTTACTCAAATGGTTTAACTCAAATGGTTTGTAGCAATTGTTTCCTCAAATGGTTTGACTTGCCTTAACTTATTGGGTTTTACAGTACTCAGTTGGTTTCAGTTTTCTTCATTTATTTGATTTTACTGTGCTCAAATTGCTCCGTTTACTCAAATGGATTAAGTTCACAGTACTCATTAGGATTCGTTTTTGAACTTAAATAGTTTGTTGCTGTCGGTTTCCTAAAATGGTTTGAGTTACCTTAACTTTTTGGGTTTTACAGTGTACTGCGGTCATTTACACCCATTTGAAGCTGCACTGAAACTATAGTTTGGAAGTTCAGACCACCATATAAGTAACCATATAAGAACCATATAAGAACCATATAAGTTCATTACATGGAGAAAAATCCTGCATATTTTTTCTCAAAACCCTTAAAGAGAAAGGTCACCCAAAACTGAACATTTCCTCAGCATTTACTCTTATGAAAGTCTTATGACTCTGTCAAACACAAAAGAAGATATTCTGAAGAATGTTGGAAAAAGCAGCCATTGATGTCCAAATCACAATGAAGTCAATGGCCATTTTCTCCTACATTCTTCACAATACCTCCCTTTGTATTCAACAGAACAAAACTCAAACAGGATTTGTGCAAGTGGAGGATGAGTAAACGATGACAGAATGTTCAGTTTTGGGTGAACTTTCCCTTTGATTCCATTTCAACTGAAGAAAGAAAATCTTTTACACTGAAAATAATATTTATTGATTAACTAAACATTTTTAAGTTAAGTAATTGCAAACAACTGAATTTAAACAAACACATTAATTTAAACATTACTTCATTTAATTAGTTTGTTTAAATTCAACCCAAATAAATTGTTTGCAGCAGCTTATATTAAAAAAATTGGGTAAACAAACTAAATAATTATTTTCAGTCTATGAGTTTGAGGAAATGCTCGTTCTAGAAGTGAACTAATCTTTTAATGGCGTTTGTGAGTGTGTGTTTTTGATCTTCAGGACATGAATGCTCTCACGCTGCCCCGGATGACCGCTCTGCAAATGGGGCAGTGACGCAGACTGGCGGCACAGTCGCTGCAGACCACCAGATGACCGCAGGGGATGAAGACCATGGACACCAGTTTGTCCATGCAGACCTTACAGGTCCTCTCCTCCTGAAGCTGCCTTAGCTGCTCCTCTGGACTCAGGTCTGAGCGCACTGAAAAACACACACGGACACATGAGTTTGAACATTTTCACTTGGTCTGGATCAGATGAGATGATCAATTTGATCTGGTTCATCTCGAGGCTACTGGATAGAGGGATTAAGCTGTATGCAAACACACACTCACACAAACACACTCACACATTATAAGTGCAATGAGAGCATGTTAATATGAACCTTTCTCCCTGCTTGAGACCTGCGTTCTTGTTCTTGTCGTTCTTGGTGTTCTCTGCGTCTCCACAGTCTCTGAGGAGACAAACATCCTTACGTTAGTGGAGGGTCATTTTATAAAACATGTAATTTAATTCATCTTTAAATAAACAATATAGCAGAATAATATATATTAAAAAATCATTTATTTTTATTTTGTTTATTACTGATATTTGGTTTACATTTTTTTAATAAACCAATAAATTAAAACATCACAGCTATTCTATTAAGCTGTAGTTTTATTGATAATAAGAATAATTTCATTATTATTATTTTTATTAGTAGTAGTAGTACATTGTATTTTGTGATTCATGTTTTTATTTTTTATTTGTCCTTGTTTATTTCTGCTTTTGAGTTGCATTATGAGACCTTGATACTATTTAACCTTTAAAAAAGTTAGGAAAAGTGACTTTTATTTACATATTTAATAGTTTGAAGTGATATACTGTCTAGGTTGGGGTTTTATATAAACCTTATAATAAACTGCCAGTATATTTTCTCTTATTTTACGGTCTTATTTCTCTATAATTATTATGTATTATACATTATATTATTTCAAACAACTAAAATGTCAATTGAAGTCACTGTAGAGTTGAAATTTCAACATCAAAAGTTGACAAAGCAGAGATGAAGAGCCCATAATGCAATTCACAAACGAAAAACACATGTGAATCGCAAAATCTGGAAACGGTTAACAACAGATATATGATTAACTGTAAAAACAGATATTTTTACTGTGTAGTTGTAGTAGTATTACTAGTATCATTTTGTCAAATCATAAATATTAAACTATTCATCTATTTATTCATTTTCCTTCGGCTTAGTCCCTTTAATTATCAGGGGTTGTCACAACGGAATGAACCGCCAACTTATCCAGCATATGTTTTACAAAGCGGATGCCCTTCCAGCTGCAACCCAGTACTGAGAAACACCCATTGACTCTCATTATCACACATACACTACGGCCAAATTAGTTAATTCAATTCACCTATACCGCATATCTTTGGAGTGTGTGGGAAACCAGAGCACCGGTAGGAAGCCAATGCCAACACGGGGAGAACATGCAAACTCCACACAGGAATGTCAACTCAATTAGCTGGAACCCGAACCAGCCACCTTCCTGCTGTGAGGTGACAGTGCTTATCACTGAGCCACCCTGTTGTTAATATTAAACCAATGAAAATAAAGAATTCTGGTGAGTTGCATTTTTATAATAACAAAGATGATTTTTAAAGATTTTTTTTGTAAAATTAAAAAAATAATTCTACTAAAATACACCAATATATCACTTATCATTAACCTCTAAAATATTTAATAATATTCATGGCTGTAATTATTAATATTTATTTTATTTATTTAAATATTAAACAAATTAGTAAAAACATTTTTTTCTTTAAAATGTTAAACTATAAAGAATTATTTTAATGAACTATTAATTATATATTATTTGATTAATTATTATATTATTTAACTATTATTTGAGAAGAAAACAGGAAATTATCTTTTTAAATGCTTCAACATATTAATTTTCTTTTTGCACAAAAGTGCTCTTGGAGCTTCATAATATTACAGTTGAAATTAAACACAGAATTGTTTTTACTTTTCTAGCCTTTAATGTCTTGGGAACGTATCTGTCTATGGAGGATGAGAGAGAGCACTCTGATTTCATCTAAAATATCTTTATTTGTTCTCTGAAGATGAACAAAGACCTCAGGATTTATGAACGACATGAGGATAAATAATTAATAACATAATTGTCATTTTTAGGTGAACTGACCCTTTAAACTACACTGTAAAAAAATCCGTAATTTTACGGTTTATTTCTGGCAGCTGAGGTGACAGTAAAATAACGTCTGTTAAATTACTGAAATATACCATAAAATAACAGATATTAAATTACATAAATTTACCAGAAATTTTAATTTAAAGAAATGTCTGTAATTTAATATCTGTTATTTTACATTATATTTCTGTAATTTAACGGCTGTTTTTTTTTTATTTTTTTACGGAAATAAACCGAAAAATTACGGATAATTTTACAGTGTAGAGTTGAAATCAGAATTATTAGCCCTCCTGAATTAAAAGACCCCTCCGCCCCACCACCCTGCCCCCATTTCTGTTTAACGGAAAGAAGATATTTTCAACCCATACTAGTTTGAATAACGCATCTTAAATAACTGATTCATTTTATCTTCGCCATGATGATGGTAGTATGGTACATAATATTTTTCTATATTTTTCAAGACACTTCTATACAGTTTAAAGTCACAGTTAAAGGCGTAACTAGGTTAATTAGGTAAGTTAGGGTAATTAGGCAAATCATTGTATAACAGTGGTTTGTTCTGTAGACAGTCAATGCTTATCGGGGCTAATAATCTTTACCTTAAATGTTTTTTTAACTGCTTTAATTCTAGCCAAAATAAAACAAATAAGACTTTCTCTAGAAGAAAACATATTATAGGAAACACTGTGAAAAATTAAAAATCATTTGCAAAATATTTGGTAAAAGATAGTAGAAATTCATAGGAGGGCTAATCATTTTGATTTCAGCTGTATATAAACATACATAATAAAGTTTTATCTTGTTTTGATAGAGTAATGTGTTTGCAAACAGAGGATGAGCCACACCTGATCTTGTGTCCCCTGTCTGCCTCTCCTCCTCCTCCTCGGCCTGCAGGACGTCGGTCACCAGATCAGAGACGGAGGTGTAGTGCGCACCGGTGAGCAGAAAGCGGGACTGAACCAGGCTCTCCACGAGCGAGTGCTGGAAGCCCATCTGCAGCACCGCCTGCACCACAGGAGACAACATGGGTGCCGCCACTGATCTCTGCCCACCCAACACCTCTGCCAGCGGGACACAGGAACGTCAGAGCATGCATGAGGACTACTGTGATCTTCACTTGAGAGGGAAAATGATCCCAGCGAGGATCAATACAACCGGAATGTGTGCATTTAAAGAGATAGTTCACCCAAAAATTAAGCAGTGATTTTCTTTTTCAGCTCAACACAGAGGAAGATATCCTGAAGATTGTTCAAAGGAATGGCCATTGACTTGCATAGGAATAAAGAAAATACTATGGAAGTCAATAGCTGCTGGTTTCCAACATTCTTCAGGATATCTACTTTTGTCTTTAACAGATGAAAGAAACTCAAACAGTTTTGGAACAAGTGAAAGGTGAGTAAATAATGTAGTAATAATGAAGGAAGTTCTATTCTGTGGTTGTTTTTGAACTTCCTTTTCAGTTGTCTGAGGGGAAATGACAGGAATAACCAATGACAAAAACTGCTTAAATTAATTGCTCTAAAAACAGTGTTCATGACTATATATAAATAAATAAAACATTAAATAAAAAAAATTTAACTAAAAATGCCAGTTTCAGTTGCTCCTTACAAGATTTGCTATTTTAACAAAAGTTATCCCGTAGCTTAATAATATTCAGATCGAACCACTGAAGTCTTGTGATTTGCTTTGAGGATGTTTTTTTAGTACTTTTTAAGACAGGAATCACAGGACTGATTTTACTAATCCCCAAAGACAAGAAGAAATAAAGTAAGGACTGCAGGTTAAAGGGAAGTAGTTGAGTAAAAGTACCAATACTGCAGTAAAAATGTACTTAAGAGAAAAGTAAAAGTACAGTAAATTACAATCTCTGAGAAAAAATTCTCAATTACGGTAGTTTGAGTATTTGTAATTAGTTACTTTACACCACTGGTTGGGTTTAGGAGTGGAGTTTGATGCCATGCCTCCTTTTAAAAATCGTACATTTTAATATGACAGAAGTTAAATATAAATTTGTATAAATTAGCCACTAAACTGACATAATGTAAAGTAGTTACATTACCTTTCGAGATCAGGCTGGATCTACGATACCAAAACACATCTAAATTTCAGGGTTCAGACAAAATTTTAATCTTTTTGACATTGAATGAATGTAAGCCTATTGTAGGAGACATCCAAAACTAAATATTAACCATTTAGAATTACATTAAGGGGAACATTCAAATTTTAAAATGACAAAGGTATCCTTAAGGGTGTCGTAATTTGCTGTTTTAAGTACAAGTGTAAACAGGGCTAGTGTGTATGATACATTATGCAGATCAAGATGTTTCTGCAGGCAATTATTTTGTAATAGCAAAGAATCAGCAAGTTCAGGAATGTTTCTTTGCCAACAGTGACCAATGATTTATGGTAAACTGCAAACTGTAACATCATTACTGTTAGTAGGAGAATGGACAATTAATGAAGACAAAATAAGACAAGAAGTTCCTGTTCCTGGATGAAAAGTAGGTTGTGAGAGCTGGAAGAATAATAACAACTCCTGAGGGACATAAAATGCATGCAACCTGATATTGTTATCCTGCTTATTACATGGCTCCTTGCCCAGAAAATAAACACAGGAAATTTGGATTTTATGCTTGTTTCACGGCAGAGCATATAGCTGACATTTGCAACACTGACGTCATGGATGATGGACATGAACAATGGTCATTTTTCAGACATATCTGAATGTTGTTACCCCCCAATCGGAATCGAGTATTGCATTGAGTCATGTAATAAACATACACAAGAGTGTGTTTATATAAAGCACACAAGCACTGCTCACAGCAATAGAAAATTTTAGATTTCAGGGGTTTTCAAACAGGGGCACGAATCCCAAAAACGCCATAGGAAGTGCTAAAGAGTCCTTGAGCAATTTGAATAAATTAATTAGATTTTACTGCAAATTTAATACAAAATATTGTTAGAAATCTCAATATAACTTATTCATTAATTTATTTATGAATGTTTATTAATTACTGGTTGTTTGGCTCTACACTAGACAAAATAATTATTAAATTTACTACATTTTTTTAATTTAAAGTTGAACATTACTAAATCATATTTGTTTGTTTACATTCAGCCCATATAAATTGTTTGCAACCACTTTCCTTAAAAACATTTAGTAAATCAAAATTTTTTAGAGTATTTCGTGTAAACTTTTGGAGTAAAACTTATTATTAATTATAATTATCATGGGATAATTTGTCAAAAAATAATTAAGCATTTTATTTATTTATTTTTTGCAAATTAACTTCACTTCAGACCTTTTAGGTTACTTCAAAATGTCATATTTAATTCAGTTCAATTGATTGTGGCATTCTAATCCTTTGAAAACCCCTGTCTTTTGCTACAACCTATTTAAAAATAAAGATCTGGATTGTCTTACCTGGTGTAATGTTTCCTGCAGCTGATGATAGAGATCCACCCTTTAAAACAAAACAACACAATGAAACCCCTATAGCGATGAAGTTAGCTGAATAAAATAACCATAAACTGTTGTTGAGGTGCATCGTTCTTTCTCACCCCTCTCCCATTCATGTTGAAGAAAGACTGCTGGACGTTACGCACGTATTCCTGTCCTCTGGATTGCAGCAAATACTCACATCTTTGTAAGACACAACAGAAAATGATATAGTCAGCACACACAACACACACAAAACTTTACTAAAACACCATTTTTAAATCGAAAATATTAATAATCCCCAGTCAGTAAGTATTAATAACATTGTATTGTACATATTACACTGCAGAACTCTCTTGAAATGAGAAATAAATACTCTTAAAGGGTCATTTTAAGCTTATTTAAAGATTTGAAACAATGTTTATTTTGTTAGCTCACATTATTATTCTGAATGTGAATAATTTATCTGTGTAAATGAATCCACAGGAAAAAAAAACTAATTGTTTTGGTAATCCTCTGTGAAAGTCTGACCATTTGATTCCGTATTTGGAGTGGCGGCCCTTCTGTTGCTATGAGGAAATGATGTGCAAAATGAACGCCAACATTCTGTTTCAATTAGAAGCACATCAACCATGCTGAAATAAAAGTCTCAGCAATTTGTGGTTTGTGCAGACTTTAGTGCAGGGGTCACCAATCTCGGGCCAGAAGGGCTGGTGTCCCTGCAGGTTTTAGCTCTAACCTGCCTCAACACACCTGCCTGGGTGTTTCAAGTATATCTAGTAAGAGCTTGATTAGTTTTTTCAGGTGTGTTTGATTAGGGTTGGAGCTAAAATCTGCAGGACACCGGCCCTCCAGGAACAAGTTTGGGGATCCCTGCTTTAGTGTATAGTGTATTATTCTACAAAAAAAGAGAGATTTAATTTACTGTAATTTGCCATAATTGTTTGTGGAATTCATTAATAATTTCTGAAAGCTATTTCTACACTACATACACACTCACCGGCCACTTTATTAGGTGCACCAGTCTAACTGCTTGTTAAAACAAATTTCTAATCAGACAATCACATGGCAACAACTCTGCATTTAGGTGTGTAGACATGGTCAAGACGATCTGCTGCAGTTCAAACCGAGCTTCAGAACGAGGAAATAGGTTGATTTAAGTGACTTTGAACATGGCAAGGTTGTTGGTGCAGGACGGGCTGGTGTGAGTATTTCAGAAACTGCTGATCTACTGGGATTTTCACACACAACCATCTCTAGGGTTTACAGAGAATGGTCTGAAAAAGAGAAAATATCCAGTGAGCGGTAGTTCTGTGGGTGCAAATGTCTTGTTGATGCCAGAGGTCTGAGGAGAATGGCCAGACTGGTTTCAGCTGATAGAAAGGCAACAGTAATTCAAATAACCACTCGATACAACTGAGGTATACAGAAGAGTATTTCTGAACACACAACACGTCCAACCTTGAGGTGGATGGGCTACAGTAGCAGAAGACCACACCGGGTGCCACTCTAGTCACCTAAGAACAGGAAACTGAGGCTACAATTGGCACAGGCTCACCAAAATTGGATAATAGAAGATTGGAAAAGCGTTGCCTGTTCTGATGAGTCTCAATTTCTGCTGCAACATTTGGATGGTAGGGTCAGAATTTGGCGTCAACAACATGAAAGCATAGATCCATCCTGCCTTGTATCAACAGTTCAGGCTGGTCGTGATGGTGCAATGGTGCAAGGAATATTTTCTTGCCACTCTTTGAGCTCATTAGTACCAATTGAGCATCATGTCAATGCCAAATCTGAGTATTGTTGCTGACCATGTTCATCCCTTTATGACCACAGTTTACCCATCTTAATGCACCATGTCATAAAGCATGAATCATCTCATCTCATCTCTTTTTTTTTAGTGTAGAAGAAAAGTAATTCAGCCCTTACTGTGGAAACCATTTGGCATGCTCCTGCCAGGGATCGTCTCCTGGTTCCCAGTTCCTCAAACCACCATCACAGAAGAAACACTTTACGTTGTCACCATGACCTGAGAAACAGACAGACACTCACTTAATTTTTACCATCTAAAAAAAAATTATACACAAAATACATTCAACACACAAACACACAATTAATTCATATGCAGTATTGTCATAATTTAAAAGATGGTCAAAACAGCAATAACCTTTGAAAGAATGTTTTTATAAATGAACATGTAGGGTATATGATGATTGTCAAAACTTTTCCTCTCCATGTGCACCAGATACTTTCCTATAAACACTCTATGTTTCTGCGAAGACTGTTTAATTCTGAGTGTGCTTCACTAACCACCTTTAGGAGACATGTTCTTTCCTCTCTGTGTGCATGTGTATGTGTGTGTGTATTAAAAAAAACTGCTAAACTAGCTTAGACTTGTAATGGCATCTTGCTGCTCTGGGCAACATGGTGGTTCAGTGGTTTGCACTATTGCCTCACAGCAAGAAGATTATTGGTTCGAGTCTTGGCTGGGTCAGTTAACATTTCTGTGTGGAGTTTGCGTGTTCTCCCTGTGTTCGCGTGGGTTTCCTCCGGGTGCTCCGGTGTCCCCCACAGTTCAATGACATGCAGTATAGGTGAACTGAATAAACTAAATTGGCCATAGTGTATGTGTGTGAATGTGAGAGTGTATGGATGTTTCCCAGTACTGGGTTTCAGCTGGAGAAGCATCCGCTTTGTAAAACTTACGCTGGATAAGTTGGTGGTTCATTCCGCTGTGGCAACCCCTGATGAATAAAGGGACTAAACCAGGGACGTCAAACTCAATTCCTGGAGGGCCGCAGCTCTGCACAGTTTAGTTCCAACACTAATTAAACACTCCTGATCAAACTATTTGAGTCCTTCAGGCTTGTTAGAAACCTACAGGTAAAGCTGCGGTCACACTAGAGTTTGTGTGTGTGAAATTCTGTTGTACGGCGCTGCGAAAAGGGGTGAGATTAAACAAGATTATTAGACATTTAAAAAAGCGAGCGATTGCTCCATGTTTTAAATTTCTGTCCAGAGAGGTCATGTTTTGATCCTCGATTGGCCTCACGCAGTCAAGTGATGCAATTTCGCAGGTCAGAGTTCATCAAGCTTGAACTTTGCACCGCAGCAACCTGCGAAATTTGATGCATGACCCTGCGTTTCCGGTCTGACGCATTCGCATGCGTATGAATGAAAGTCAATGGGAGGAAAAGCGCAGTGTGACCGCAGCTTCAGTGTGTTGGGGCAGGGTTGGAACTAAACTGTGCAGGGCTGCGACCCCCCAGGAATTGAGTTTGACATTCCTGGACTAAACTGAAGGGAAAATAAATGAATGAAAATTACTGCACTCTTGGCATCTAAAGTGCTTCTTTTATTTTCAATGTAAATAAGGTATAGAAGCTTGACAGTTACAAACAGTTCTATCAGTTCAGATTTTCTCAGTCAAAATGTTAAGTCTCTCAGAATGTGTCTTATTGACACTTTTTTCCTCTCGTAATTGTGATTTTCACAATTTTTCACATCAAGCTTCTGACTTTTTTTGCAAATGGGAACTTATTTTTTATATTTCAACTTTATTTTTATTGTTCAACAGCCAAGAACAAAGAACACACTTCACACTACACATACATATGATACATGTTACATATTCAGCCACCTGTCACACCAAGAAAAACAACATATAGCAAACATATATGGAAATTAAGGTTGTGGTACCTTTGAATGTACATACTCATTTATCCTAATTTTAGATGTTTCCAGATATTATCCCATTTTCTATGTACTTTTCCCTCATTGTTCAATCTCCCCAGCATACACTCATATGATGCAATATTAATCCACTCTTTCATTTCTGAATGATTAAATGACATTACATTTATATAGCGCTTTTCTGGGCATTCAAGGCTCTTTACACAATGAGGGGGAATCTCCTCATCCACCATCAGTGTGCAGCATCCACCTAGATGACGTGACGGCAGCCATTTTGTGCCAGATTGCACACCACACACTATTGGGTGGTTGGTGGAGAGGAGACAGGGTGATGAAGCCAATTACGATATGGGGAGAGTTAGGAGGCCATGATGAACAGAGGCCAGTGGGCAAATTTGGCCAGGATGCCAAGGTGAAACCCCCTACTCTTTTTCGAAGGACATCCTGGGATTTTTAACGACCACAGAGAGTCAGGACCTCGGTTTTAAGTCTCATCCAAAAGACGGCAGTATAGAGTCACTGAGCAGTATAGAGTCCCCATCATTATACTGGGAAATTGGGACCCACAAAGACCGCAGTTTGGGCACCCCCTGCTGGCCTCACTAACACCACTTCCGGCAACAACCTAGCTTTCCCATGTGGTCTCCCATCCAGGTCCTGACTGGGTGCAGCCCTGCTCAGCTTCAGTGGGTGACCATGTGAGAGTTGCAGAGAGCTAGCTGCCGGATTTCTGGCATTCTGGGACACTTCCAATTACATAGTATCATCCTAGCAGCTGTAATGCATCCAATCTTGAGAAGAATAAAGGAATTTTTACCTATATTAGGTATCACTAATTTGTCACCCAGAAGGCATAGCCATGGCTCTACAGGTAAGTAACAGCCTAGCCACATTTTACAGCACAATGGGTAAACTAGACAACATTCCCAGATCAAATACGTACCTTCTTCTTTATTGCATTTCCAACACTGATTATTTCCAGCTAGTCCCATCCTATAGAGTCTGGATGATGTGTAGCAGTATCTATGTATTATTTTGTACTGAATGAACTTTCCTATGACTTGCAAATGAGATTTTTATTTTTCTGGCAACTAAGACTTTATCAGTTTATATAAGACAACTCACTTCTTTAAGTGAATCCTTGCACTGAATAAATTTACATATGACAATGTTGGTAACACTTTCCAATAAGGTTGTATTAGTTAATGTTAGTTAATGCATTTACTAACAAGAATAAACAATGGCCCATGCATATATTACATTATTTGTTCATGTTAGTTAACGTTAATAAGAAAATGCAGTTGTTCATTGTCAGTTCATGCTAACTCACGGTGCATTAACTAATATTAACAAGCATGAACTTTGACAATGCATTAGTAAATGTTAAACTATGACTAAAAATTGATGTACGATATGGTTTGTAAACTGGAAGCTTCTGTAGCCTAAACAAATATGTGTGTGGAGCACACCTGGCAATAAAACTGATTCTGATTCTGACAAGTATTGTTACATTAACGAATGAAACCTTAAAGTGACCACAATATTGTCTTTTTTTCCTCTTGCCTTTTTTGATTATATGTCACAATTTTTATATTTTATCTGTTAATTCTTACTTTGTATCCTACAATTGAAACCCCTAATAAGTTGACTGAACGAAATTAATTGAGTAACGGAGTCTCCCAAAACTTGCATATTTAAGTTTATTTAACTTGCCGGTTTGTTAGATTATACTTAAATTGTTCAGTTCATTGTGTGTGTGTCTGTGTATAATTATATACTATAAAAAATGTTTAAAAGAAAAATAGCAATTTCTTCCCATTATATTATACATGAAGTCTTGTTTTCTGATTTAAAAAAGACCTTGCACTAAAAGTTTGCACAAGTTGGAATTTTACAGTCAAGACTACATTAAAAACAACCTATTTTTTTCAAACGATTCATTGTGATTTTGAACTTATAACTATACTTGAAATCTTAAGTTTATGCATTTTCATTGTATATGAGTTAAATGAACTCATAATTTTAGGTTACAGGACCAAAACGCTAAATTTAAAGTAATGTCCAGTCAACTTTACTTGATTGTTTAAGTAAAGACAACATTAGGGTTTACAGTGTAAATGAATATCCTACAACAGAGTTTAAAACTCATAATAATTCAGATGTTTTCTCAGAACTTTGATTTCTTTCTAACAGAACTGCTTACAGTTCCTAATAACTACATAATTTATATCAGAATTGTGGCTTTACTTTTGTCCAAATTTTCATTTTATATCTCACAATTCTATCTTTTTGTGTGCTATGTGACAATTCTGGCCTTTTCACCATATTTCTGACTTCTGACTAACAGTGCTAGAAAACCTGTAACCATTGACCTCCATAGTATTTGTTTTTCCTACAATAGAAGTCAAAGGTTGCAGGTTTTTATCATTCTTCAAAATATCTTCATTAGTGTTCTAAAGAAACTCGTAAAGGTTTGGAACCTCATAATGGTGAGTAAATATTGATTAAAATACGTAATTTTACGGAAAAAATGTTCTCTCCGTTAAACAAAAATTGAGGGGAAAAATGGAAGGTGGGGCCTAATAATATAATAATAAATTTCCTTGAATTTAAATTTCTGTGATTAAACCTCTGTTGTTTTACAATAAATTTCTGTAATTCAACGGCCGATTTACGTTTATATATATATATATATATATATATATATATATATATATATATATATATATATATAATTATACATAAATTGTATATTTTTACAGTGTATGCCTATAAATTACAATTTTGTTGTCCTCTGAGAGCAGATAGTGATATTAATTTCTGAATGCACACTTTCTACATAAGGAGCAACCAGAAACACTATTGCTTTGAGAATAAAGCGCTGTGCTCTGCTCTGTGCTCGCGGCCTCTCGCTCATTCCGTGCATTCACAGTGCTCGTGACTGCAGGCGCGTGACTGTGGCTTTGCGCGAGAAAGAAGCAGAAGCGCCTCAGTTTCACTTCTGATAAAATCAACATCATGTGAATCATCATAATTTTATTTCCTTGTTCCCAAAATAAAAGAAAAATTCTCCACGCACCTGTGTAGAAGAATCCAGCGCGTGCCAGTGTGTCGGGCTGCACTGCTGCTCCTGTGGGCCAGTTGTGGAAGGTAGATCGCCTGTTGTCCTCCGTCTCCATCTCCGAGTATGCAGCCTGTCCGGTCAGGCCCTGCTCGTCCATGGTCAAGCGCTGAAGCTGACTCAGCAGCTGACCGTCCACAGAATCAGAGGAGCCCCGCGGGACATTGCCCACATCCCTGCCTCTCATCAATCCACAGGTGGGGAAGTGCCTCTCGTGCTCCCCTCGCGGCGTGTCTCCATCCACCCAGTGCCTCAGGATGCCCTCACAACAGAAGCACTGCACCGTATCCCCGTAGCCCAGATAGTGAAAGCCAGCCCGTGCGAGCTCCTCTGGACTCACTGCAGCGTCGCTGGGCCAGTTGTGGAAGGTCTGGAGCCTCTCCTCCTCACTGCGCATCCCGAGCCGAACCTCCGCCTCCATGCGCGCGCTCCTCTGGCGCTCGTGTCCGCGATCTGCGCTCATCCTGCTCACCTTCCATAGCGGGCTGTTCAGGTGTGCCGAAGCCCCCCCTCCGCCCGCCATAGAGCCTATTATTACGGCCAGTGATAATAACAGCGCGGCGGTTCACTATAGCGCACACATTTCCAGAATGTAAGCAAGTTGTTAAAATGATCTGCTGCCCCGTGGCCGAGCCCTGAATAACAATTTATACAATAGACGCCTTTCATGGTGATTTTCTCTAACTTTCACATGATATCATATGAACATAGACCACCTTTTGCCTATAGGCATATTTATATTTTTTGTGGTTATATTAATATTGAAATATTTCATTGATACATTTATAAACACACATGTTTTGAAAGTGATAAGAAAAACAATAAACATCACCATCATCAAAATCATAAAAATAATATAATAATAAAAGTAGTAATAATAATAATAATAATAAGAATAATAATAATAAGAAGAAGAAGAAGAAGAAGAATAACACAATAATACTGATAATGATGATGATGATGATGATGATGATGATGATGATGATGATGATGATGGAGATGTTCTTTTTAGATGATACTTTTAGATGATTTTTTCTTTAAATTTGTGTTGATTATTATTTTTGCTTTTTGTGAGCAACATTTTTTATCACACTATTAATTTTCATTTTTAAATTATTATTACCTTGCTTAAAAGGTAAACTAGGCACAATTTCAAAGAAAATCCTGCTTTCCAAAATGATGTTCTTACTTTTAGTTATAGATTATAAAATTATTTATTTCTATATTATTATTTTTGTTAATAGCTAATAATAATAATAGTTATTATTACCAATTAATTTGTATTATTTTAATGCTATTAACATATAACATAACATATAACTGTTATTATATGCCTGATACAAATAACAATGCTTTTTTAACTTTGAATTTTTAATACAATTTGTACAAAACAAGGCAAGAACCACAACAACACAAAATATATGTATAAAAACAAAAGAACAGCAACAACAATACTGTTTTGTTGTTGTTGAACTTCCCTGGCTTAAAAAAATCGTTTTTGACTGCATCTCCCACAATTCCTTGCCGGAAGTTCGTCATATGTTGACGCCAAACATAATGGCGGCTCAGTGAAACGCACAGGCTTCGCAAGATCCTTAATTTCGATCAATAAAGGCAAGTAAACGCACAAAACTTCTCTTGTTATCCACTGCACAGCTGAACGTTTGTTCATAACTAAGGTTCACTCGTTATAGTCTTCTGTTTAGACTCTGTTGGCCATTGCCGTGTTCTTTGCCTTCAGTGTGGGGTGCAGCGAGATTATTACAACTCCAGTGAATTTATATTCATCTCAAGTTATATTGCACATAGAATGTTATAGTTTTATTATGGTCATCCCCGTTTTAATGATTACATTTGACGTAGTTTGACTAAAATGAGGTTAATAATTTTACCTAAGGTATACAAAAGGCCCTTTCTATTTATTTAAGTCAAATCTGTTAAATGCATTTACCGAGGTATAAGAAAAGAATCTCCAAAATATAAGCAATATATGTGGCAGCTAATCTTCTATAGTGTACATCAGATTCAAAAAACAATATGAACATGTGGTGTTTTCAGAAATTATGTAACGTTAATCTGCCAAATGTGAAGGAATTAACGTTACTGTATCTAAGCTATAACGTTACTATGCTAGTAGAACAGTCTTTAACAAAATAAGCAACGCACTTTGACAAAAAATATTTTATTTGTGCAAAACGGGGAGTTTAAATGAAAGAACAGCAGTGAGTGTATCAAGAATAATAGAGGTAAAGTTGGTTTTATATTAGCACATTTGTTTATTTAGAAGTCTCTAACGTTATTGTTTAGCATGTTACTTTGAATATTCGATCGGAATTAGTGGTAGTGTGGCTTGAAAACAACATTAACACTGTTGACAATTTGACTGTGAACAATGTTGTACTTTGATAGTCATTTGCTGCTAAGTTAATATGATTTCGCTATTTAGAGTTTGCAAATACTTTTATATGGTTGTATTATTAAGGGGAAAGTCAGAATGTGCGTATATAAAACCAGCTTTACCTCTATTCGAGAATAAGATAACGATGATGTCAAATGTTTTTGTGCCGATTAAATGTTGAAGCTTTTATGGTGATATATGGTATTATCGCGATATAGAGCTTTAAATAGGTATAAAAACAAAGTCATTGGTATATTGCTGTATTTTATGCAAATTCAGGGAAAAGAAATGTTGCAACGTACAATAGGTAACACTTCACGATGAAGTTTCCTTGCTTAATGTTAGTTAATAGATTAAAATCAACAGTAAAAAAGGTAGATTCATTACAGTTACTATGTTAATGAAAGTAAAAAAATAAAGTGGAATTTTGTTAGTTAATAACCAAATTTAAAGGGCACCTATGGTGAAAAATCTACTTTTCAAGCTATTTGGACAGACATATGTGTAGGCATAGTGTATAGACCAGGATCTTGGGGTGATATAAAGTTACCCAGTGCTTTTTTTTTTAATTTAACAACATAAAAACAGTGGACCAATTCGAGCTGTTTTTAGATCGACCGCAACTTGACGCAGGAGTGCGGTCCCCCCGCCCACCGAATTGATTGACAGCTGTGCGCATTAACATTTCCCGGTAGTCACATGTATAATCATGTCAACAAGACCAGACGTGCGCAAAGCAACCGGAAATAAAAAATCTGTTCAGTTTGCTAGGATCATCAATCATCATCTAATGTGTAAGTTTTACATGTTTAAAATGTTTTAAAACAGAGCACGTGTGTAATGAAGTACAGCGATTCACTTCAGCTTTACTTCATCAGCACAGCTGCGTGTCAAAACAATTATAAAGGAAGACGTTTCAATCCCTGTTTGGGGATGTTAAATCAGGTTTATTTTGTTCAATAACATAGCAGATATCCACACAGCAGTGGAGATTAAGCTGTATCCTGTCACATATGCATGAAAAAACAGTGCAAAGCTAAGCGTGCTCTGTCTGTCCGTGTGTGTGTGTGTGTGTGTTTGTGTTTGTGTTTGTGTTTTTGTGTGTCTGCTGCGGTGTGTGTGTGTGTGTGTGTGTGTGTGTGTGCGCGCGCGTGAACTTTGTAACGATATTGTGTGTGACTAATCAATGACACTGCACAACAAATACTCCTTGGTAAAGTTCTTACTGTAGTATTTCTCACAAACGCTACACGAGATCTTACTTTAAGTCTGTCTGATGTCTGACGCAGACGAGGGAGGAGATTAAGGCAATCAGAAAGGCACGTAAAAATGGTAGGCGGGGAGGACTCGCCTTAAAGGCGCAGTACGACAAAACTACTGTAGTGAACTACTGGAGTCGTATTGTACAATGTTAATTAATGAATATTAGCCCATTTCTATCAATATTTCAGCATGTAGTAGGCCAGAAGTGAAAAGTTCCAATAAAGTGTTTAAGCTTTGGTGCTGTTTTGAACACCACTGCAAATTCAATGTGAACACTGTATAAATAATTATTCACAGTAGTTTGCAGATATTTAAATATCTTTATTGAGTTATTGAATATTGCCATGTGTCCTATCATGAAAAAGACTTTAGCCTTTATCTGGATAAATTAAAACCTGAAATTGGGAGGAATCTGAAAGTGTGTTAAATTTTAAACATTGTTCCTTTCAAAAATCTCATTTAAGTTTTTTTATACTGCTCAAAAACACATATATTAAACAAAAAAACAAGATATTTAAAACTTCAGGCATCATCACAATCATGTGAAAATGGTCTGTTGTAGGTTTTATTGTGGTTTTTATTATTATAAATCAATTTTCTTTTTATCATGAGCTGACGATTTGCCGGTTTATTGCAATCAAAAGATATCGTGCATACCTCCCTCCTTAACATAACGCACAGTTGCTCTTCTTTCCAGATGGCTGGTGACTCTGAGAAGAAGGACCTGGACTCGGCTGGGAAGGAACGAGAGTCCCGTAAGCGCAGTCGCTCTCGCTCTAGAGAGCGCGATCGTAAAGGATCTCCTGGCCGAGAGCGCAAACGTCACAGATCCCGTGAACGCAAGCGCTCCCGCAGCAGATCCAAATCTCCAGACCGGTGTGTATACAGTTATATACTGTTCTTCTCATATGAAGGCTAACGATCACCAAACACGGACTTTTCTTCTCTGTTTTTAGAGATCGTCGTCTAAAAGACAAAGATAGAGACAGAGACAGAAGCCGCAAAGACCGAGAAAGAGAACGGGATAGACGGGACAAAGACCGCTCCAAGAAATCAAGGTTTGACTTGTATTTAATGCTGAAAATTTCTCGGTAGCTGAAAAATAAGGATCACTGTAGGGACTGGTGCAGTTGATTTGTGTGTCATGTCTTCCTTGATCATGCCGGTGTGTTTTTTTTTTTTTTATATACCTGGATCATTTTTGACACGTGCTGAAATTTTCTGATGAAAGTTCTATAGTTTTTAATATGTAAAAATGTCTAGACTACGGTGACCGGGAAGTGCAAAACAATATTACAAAGTGTGAAACACTTTTACAAAGCTCGAGACAAATTTACATTTTGAAAAACATTTTTACCTATCATAAGACACAATTACATAGGAAAAGGATAAAACAAATTTATATTTTTGAAAAAAATTAACAAAATGAAAAACACTTTTACCATTCCCGAAAGAAATTTACAATTACAGATTCCTTACGGTGTGTGTATCCATATTTCTGTATGCGAATATTCTTTATGTATCTATTTAAAAGCTAAGTGTATATTTATTTTTTGTATTTTATTGAAATTATACTGTTTAAATGATGAATTTATTTTGTCATGATTATAGATAAATAAAAACTCTGAATAGGAAACAAATAATGATATAATAATAATCCTGAGCAATTGACAGCTGACATAGAAGATAAAAGTTTGTGGAGAATGTATACTAAAAGACTATTGTTAATTTTACCCTTCACAAAACCCTTGAATTTCTTGCCGATGGCTGTATTGAAAAATAGATGGGTCTATTATTGTATATCATGATGTGAGACACCTATACCACTGTTTTGTCATTGCAAATCTTTGAATAAATGTTTTTAAAAAGTTATTGATATAAAAA